TATTATAATTAAAAAATCAAAATTCAAAGTCACACCAAATCTAAACTATAATCACCTTCCAAAAATCTAAAATACGAAGGGGGCCAGGAATAGGCGGAAGGGAAGGGATGACCCAAAATGAACCACGAAAACACCCAATCCTAAAATCCCAATAAAATCTTTTTCCTTCTCTCTCAAAACAAAACCAAACCAAACCAGAAGAAAGAGAGACAAACAGAAATACAAGAAACCAAAAATAGTGTTGTATTTCACTCCTCATTTCAAACTATTGTCCTCCTCCTCCTCCATATAACCGAAATTGCTTGGTTCCAAGAAACCAAAGAAGAAGAAGAAATGGTAGGAAGTGGTTCACAAGCTGTAATGTTGTCAGCAAACAGTGGTGCTTCACTAGTCACGTCCTCTCGTCCAAGCCGATTGTTGTTTTTGTTCTTCAACAACAACAACAACAACAGATATCCATTTCGATTCAAGAAGTCATCAATTCTCCGACCACTTCGAGCTTCCTCCGACGAACCTGATTGCAATGTTGAAGAATGCGCCCCCGACAAGGAGGTCTTTTACTTCTTTCTTTTTATTTTTTTTTATTTTTTTTTAAATTTTTTAATTTTTAATAATAAGTAAAATAAACTAGTTTTAGTTATTTCAAATTAGCTTGAGGAATTTATCAGTAATTCATGAATTATATTTGCGGTATAGATGGGAACTGTTGGATATATGGGATAAATTGTGGTTTTCTTAGCTTGATTAAAAGAGAGAATGACAAATATTTTCATAATTTTTATGAAAAAAATTGGAAGACAAGTGGTGATATTAGATGTTCTATACTTCTTAACTGACCCATATAAAATCTTCCACACTTATGAAGTGCAGACGCTCCATGCCTATGAACTATGTCACACGAACTCTTTTATTTCCTCTGGAAGCACCTGTGTTTGCTCGATATGACAAGGGTAAAAGTGTGGATACGTGTGAAATATTTGTACCCAAATTAAACACTTATGTTGTCTAATTTTGTATGATGTTTGAAGAAGATGAAACTCACATTGCTACTAAAAAACATTTCTAACCTCTCAAATAGACGAGGGATAGAAATTTCATATTTTTCCTTAATTCTATTGAATTTTCAAGTACTATTATGCATAATTTACAATATTTTATCTAAGAATATTATACAACATGAAACATATAAGTGTCTATGACACATTCCCATACTCATGTCCAACTTTTGAATACATTTTTCAATATCCTAAGATTTATGTTTACGAAGGTCTGATGCTTGCGCCTGCACCTGGACCCGCACCCTATTCTCTTACCCAAGTCCATGTAAACATTGCCCATGAAGCACAAACACTCCATGTCACCATATTTCTACTCGACACGTGTCAGACATGAACATGCCTTAAACAAAATGGAAGGTCTGATGCTTGCGCCTGCACCTGGACCCGCACCCTATTCTCTTACCCAAGTCCATGTAAACATTGCCCATGAAGCACAAACACTCCATGTCACCATATTTCTACTCGACACGTGTCAGACATGAACATGCCTTAAACAAAATGGAAGGTCTGATGCTTGCGCCTGCACCTGGACCCGCACCCTATTCTCTTACCCAAGTCCATGTAAACATTGCCCATGAAGCACAAACACTCCATGTCACCATATTTCTACTCGACACGTGTCAGACATGAACATGCCTTAAACAAAATGGAAGGTCTGATGCTTGCGCCTGCACCTGGACCCGCACCCTATTCTCTTACCCAAGTCCATGTAAACATTGCCCATGAAGCACAAACACTCCATGTCACCATATTTCTACTCGACACGTGTCAGACATGAACATGCCTTAAACAAAATGGAAGGTCTGATGCTTGCGCCTGCACCTGGACCCGCACCCTATTCTCTTACCCAAGTCCATGTAAACATTGCCCATGAAGCACAAACACTCCATGTCACCATATTTCTACTCGACACGTGTCAGACATGAACATGCCTTAAACAAAATGGACGACAGGGTTTTTTTTTTTTTTTTTGTACATCTTTTGGGATCAAAGTGTAAAATTAAGAAAGTAAAAAAAGACACAACATCCTTCATTTGTTTAAATGTAGTGGTTTTATATATATATATATATATATTGCATTAATATTAGTTTTTATTAATTTTGATTGTTTGGTAACATAATACTAATCTACATAGCAAATATATATAAAAATTAAATAAATAAATTTCCGTGTCGCCCACCGTGTCCATATCTCTATTTTTTTGAAATCACTGTGTCTCATATCTGTGTCCTTGTACATGCTTCATAGTTCAAAGCTAATAAAAAAGGTGCAAAATAACACTAAATCTTTACAAATTTACATTGTGTTTTTTTCATTTTATTTTTCTATCATTGTATACTAGGTAATTGGTTCAAACTTATAATTTGTTTTCTTTCCTTATTATTATTATTATTGGTACATTTGAGGGGAGAGGGAGTCGAACTTGTAACTTATAATTAATTCCATGTATCAAGTGATGGACTTGTGTGTTCTTTAGGTGTCTAAAGCATGTCCAAGTCTTTTTTTAAAAAAAAAAAGGAGAGAGAGAGATTTGCCCCATTCCATTTCACGGTAGCTCATTTATGCCACATCAATTTCAAGATACCTCATTACTACCCTTTTGTTTTTTAAGTATAGACACAGATATGGATACAGATACAGATACGGAGATGGACATAGGATACAGTGATTTCAAAAAAATGAAACACGAACATGGCGGGGGACACAACAAATTTTTTTCAATTTATTTATATATATATTTGCTATGTAGATTAATATCATGTTATCAAACAATCAAAATTAATAAAAACTAACATTAAATCAATATATATATATATATAAATCACTACATTTAAGCAAATTAATAGATTATCCATATTTGGACACTTGTAAAAATGACGTGTCCACAACATGTCCCTGTGTCCCTGCTATGTCCCTTGCAAAAAATAATAAAATTAAAGGGACACACCATTTGGCATGTCCCATACGTGTCCCCGTGTCCAACACCGCTACAGCGCCTATTTTGAAATGTCCGTGCTTCATAGTTTGTCTCTCTTTTTTACCCCATTCCAAACAAACTTCTTCCCATCCACTTTACAAATTTAAATGCTTATTAAATAGCAATTGGAGAATGGATAGCATAAATGAGTCCTATGATGAACACTTGAAACCAAACTCCACTATTGCATGATTCATTAATAAAATGCAATTGAACACCTTGATATTTTAATGGTTACCAAAATTAAGAAGAAATAAAAACAAAAAAACAATAGGGGCAATCTAAACTATTCTATATTTTTCCTCGCTTGGTACTTGCAACTTATGTGATGTGGCCTCCTCAAAAACATATATACTAGTATCACACTGTTGAATTGAGAGAATACTTTAATCACTCGAAAACACATTTTCATTTGATTGTATAGAAGGAAGTGGCAAGTTCAGAGTCATATTAGGCAGCTTATACTTAATGTCCATTTGCATCTCTAATAATATATCATTGGATTGCTTGTTCTTGGAAGAGTTTGAATTATGCAATTCCAATTTTATATTAGGTATTTTTTGCACCATGAATCAAGATACCATCAAATCTACATAGTAAGAGTACTTCATTTGAGAGGCAAAGAGCATGTATATACTAGTACATATATCATTGGATTGTTTGTTCTTGAAAAATTTAGTTGCTCCTCTCATCTTTCTAGTGTTTCTATTATTAGCAGCCGTTTGCATTGGTTCATTGAAATCTTTTGTGCTAACTTTTGGTAAATGTTAACACTATATTTTTTTCTTCTTTAAACAAAATAATAGGAATTTATGTATTTTTGATGGATGATCTATTCATTATCGAACATAAATGCTTTTGATATTTGTAAGATAATGGTTTATGATTGATGAAATAGTGTTTTGTATGTTTAATGACGTTTAAATTGTAGATTGAATGGTTTCTTCGTGTTGAATTAGTGATAGTTTTCATTATTTTTGGTTATTTGTGGATAAAATTAACAAATTAAAATATATTCAAAAACATATGTAATTTTTTGTCGTATACCTGCTGTATTGCTATCGTAGTTTTTGAAAATCGTATTGTTCGTACCCATGTCCATGTCAATTGCTTCTTAACTCCACACCAAGCGGCAAGATGAATTTGTTATTAATCATCTGGTCTTAATTTCTATCTCATCTGCTATAATATTTTTCGATTTTGTATATTTAGGTTCCTTAAAAGCCTAAGAAATGCTGGTATGTGGGACGGCTATTTTTGTGTCACCAGGGTTGAAATTGAGTGTAGTGTCACTGAGGTGATATGCTGGTGATGTCCATCTAAGAAAACATTGTAAAATGGAACTTTAAAATGCTTTCCAGGTTGACTGGTGGTAAGAAATTACTATTTTGATTAATTTCACTGTCAGTGTTGGATATCATCTATTTCTTGAAATGTACAGTAGTGGACCTTTCTTTTGTTTAGCTAATCTTTTCATTGACCAAGATAATAAATAGCTTTTTATTCATGAATCTCTGCTTTTCCAGTTACCAATTTCCTGGACATAATGTTTATGCAGTTTGGTTTCTGAATTATTATTTTGCATAAATCCACTACAGAAAATGCATGAATTCTAATGTATTATTGGTAAAGCAGGTTGGCAAGGTGAGTGTGGAATGGTTAGCCGAGGAAAAGACCAAAGTGCTCGGTACATTCCCACCTCGTAATCGAGGTTGGACAGGCTATGTTGAGAAGGACACTGCAGGGCAGACTAACATATATTCGGTTGAGGTTAGTAGTTTCAATTTTTCCAATTTCCTTCCAATGCTTCCCCATTCTACTTAATTTTTTCTTCAAATAATTATAATTGGGAAAGTTGAAATCAATATTAAGTGCAATATTACAGGAAGAATTACATAATTATTTGTCTCTCAAAAGAAGTGTATCTAGAAATTGGTCGAAAATTTTGAGGCGTTTCTTGAAAAAATCTCGACATGAAATCACAAATATTAATATCCTAGTTTCCCATTTTTTTTTGTTGATAAAACTTGGGAGTATGGGAAGAATGTCATATAGTTTTAAAATGATGTTCAGTTTACTTTCCTCAGAAATTAGGAACATTTAAATATAAATTGGCCATAATAATCGTCTACCACATATTTATGTGGAGTTCTTGAGAATATATTGTTACACAGTCTTGGATAAAACTCAACCTCAAAAGTTAGTTGATGGGGTAAGAGTGGCCTCAACCTTATATACTGCACATTACTGTCACGCCTAGGCCATGTGGGACTTCATTTCACTTATATGACGTAAATATATAAATACCTCACAAACACACAGCAAGAGACTAGCAAAGAGCAAGTCTTTTAAGAGTTTCAAACTTCAATCTCATCTATTAAAGATTATTATTTCTGTTGACAATATCCGAATGGGGCCCATTCTTTGGTTTGTTTTGAACTGCTCCAAACGATTTCAAGTCTCTGGAATGAACCCTAATATATATATATATATATTATGCATGTAATATCTGTTAATATTTGCAGCCAGCAGTTTATGTGGCAGAAAGTGCAATCAGCTCAGGAACTGCAGGTTCATCTGCTGATGGATCAGAGAAAGCAAAAGCAATAGTTACTGGGCTTGCCCTGGTCTCCGTTGCTGCTGCTGCGTCAATACTCCTTCAAGTTGGGAAGATTAGCCCACCTCAGATCCAGACCGCCGAATACTCTGGGCCTTCCCTTACTTACTATATCAATAAGTTTAAACCACAAGAAATTATCCAAGCTCAAGCTCAAACTGAAACTGAAATATCAGAGAGCAATGCCCTACAAGTTTCCAAGGTTGAGCTTGAATCTTGATTTCAGCTTGATGCTTCTACTTCAAAGGTCTAATGTCTCTTAGCCAATTTAAGTTTACTGATTTTCTTTTAATAGTTATTAAACCTCATCAGACAATTTTTATTTCTACTGTTGATTGTATACTATGTTGAGGATTAATATATATAGTTCACTGAACCTTTTGAGTTTGTGCATTGGCCATACACTAATTATTACTTTTACATGATAATGTTAAAATTGATGTATTATTGATTGTTGTATGTTATCTATTACAAATGGTGAGGGGCTCCTTATATAGGAGATGTAGTGGAGTAGGTGGTAGTAGGTGGTAGTGGTAGGTGTGTAGTAGGTGGTAGTAGGTGGTGGTAGGTGTAGTAGGTGGAGTAGGTGATGGTAGGTTTTAACAGCCCCCCGCAAACTCAAGGGGGATAGGAACTAACCAACTTGAGTTTGGAGAGAGTAACAAAACAAGAAAATAATCTGAAAAATAAAAAATGGATAGGAGACACTGTATGGTCGTGTCAGACCGTTGTAGAAGACTGTATGGTTATGGCAGACCGATGTAGAAGACACTGGCTCGTGTCGGACCGATGTAGAAGACAGTTTATGGGGTCATGTCGGACCGTTGTAGCAGACAATGTTGTGACAGTTGTTGTGACAGTTTACAGAGTCTTGCTGGACCCTCTACATTTATAAGGATCAAAAATAGCAATAGCTAAAACGTGTGTATTTAGGGATCCACTCTCCATCCAATGGTCCTTGTCTTCTCTGAAACAAAAACTGCTCAATTATTAATATTAAAAGCATAAAAACAATGGAAAGTTTGTAATACCATTGGTTCCATTTGGAAAGCAAGCATTCCCTTATGCAATGCGACCCTTGAGAACCTGAATAAAAATCCAGAAAATCAAGTGGATTTTAAGACCCCGGATATAATTAGCCATAACGAAAAGGGGAGGAAGGGGAATCTAAATTTTCAGTTTTGAAAGGTGATTAGAGAACAGGCATTTATAATTTAAAACTAAAGAATCCAAAAAGTAAAAAACTGTGATAGTAATTGGAGTATAAAACTGAACTTCGATAATTCTTTCCTGGAAGACATTTACTCCTTTCCCAAGGACATGGTAAAGGCAGCTCAAATTAACTTAAAAAACCATTACTTAATGAAGTGGTGCCAAACAACTATCCCAGGGAAGTATAAAACAAAATGTAAACATCAAACATGCTCCTTACATATAAAAACTTTCTCCAGCACAATATATAAAACTTTGATTTTAAAAATAAAATTACTTTTAAGTGATATTTGTGTCGCACCGGCTGCAGAGTAGGACAAATGAGGTGCAACAGTTAAACGCTCAACTGGCTCTGTTCCAACGCATGTATAAGGATGCGCGAGCAGAGATAAGTGTGCTAAAGGCAGAAAACAAGGAGCTGAAGCGGAAAGCCACCGTGATGTTTCGATTTGGAGGTCCGCCATATGCTGCAGTGGAGGAGTACGGGGGAGTGAACGTGCTCGGTGGACTAGGAAGCACTGAGGCAACACCGTCAAAGGTCGCCCAGGACGGAGGCAAGAAGAAAAGACCGGCGGAAGAGGCGAAGAAGTGAGGTCGGTGGGTGGCCGTCTGCAAAAAAGAAAACAAATCCGTTGTTGTCGTGGGTGTTGGATTTGCGTTTTTTTTTTTTTTGCTGTAAAATTCTGATCGGGGTTGATCCCCGGCATGAAGAAACAACAAGTTTGTGGAATGATGATTTTTTTTTTTTGTGAAAAGTAAGGGAATCGAATAATAAAAAAAAAAAAATATGGAGATGGTGATGAAATGATAAGCATGGTGATGATGAATATATAATAATGAATAAAAATAATAAAGGATGGAGTGGGGAACAGGGCGAATCGAGAGCACCAATTAAGTTTTATAATAAAAAATAAAATTTGGGCGATGGATGGGTGTGATTAAAAAAGAAAAGTGAATTGGGTGTGCCCCTTTCTCTCTCTCTCTTACGGAAAAATGGTGAAGGAAACAAAATGTATAAACTAATGAAAAGAAAGCAAAATATATGTGTGTGTGTGTGTGTGTGTGTGTGTGGTTTTGGATTCTGAGTATGTGCATAATAATAATAATAAAATGAATGAGGAGAGAGAGGGTTTTATGTTTAAAGAAAAGAAGAGTGGGTAGATAATAGTAAAATAAAAAAAGAAACGAAAAGAGGGGACAAAACCCATGTGATAAAGTGGAGAGAGAGAGAAGAGGGTCAAGTCCCTCCTGTGTCTTTATTTATTTTTGTATATCCATCTTTGCAGATCACCACTTGTTCATCCTCTCACCCCCTCGCCTCTGATTTTATTTTATTCCCTTTCTCTTCTAGCCGAGAGAGAGAGGGCCCTTTTGGATGCATGGTGTGTCTTTTCTTTATTCATTTTCCCACCGAGAGAGAGACTGTGAGAGTAGAGAGCAAACACTGAATAAACACAGTGTGCAGAGTATCCAAATGAGGAATTAGGGTTTCCCCTATGTACTGCGCCAATTGCGCGAAAATCAACAGCGCCGATTCGCGAAGCTTCGGATTGTCCGACGTGACGCACTGGAACATAAACGACAAGAGCTTCGGCCAGCCACCGTCAGGCAAGATCGAAGAAGCGAGCTTTGAAATGGTATCGCAAAGCTTCTTGGAGATGGTCTTGGCGGTTTCGCGGCCGACGCAATCCAAGAGAGTGGATTTGAGGGTGGACTGAGTGGCCGGAGAGAGATTGGGGTATATGTAAGAGTCGTCGCGAGTGAGCTGCTTGCGGAGGAGGATGGCGGACATGGCGCGAGCTTGAGAGAGAGGGAATCGGGGTGTGTTTGCTTGCAGAGATTGAAGAGAGACTCGGCGCAGGTCGTTGGCGGTGGACATGGAATTTGTTAGCAGTAGCAACAAGAAGATCAAATAATTTGTGGCAGCGGAGTGAATGTATGTGTAGCAAAATTCTAGCGGACTAGGTTGAGGTCCGGCGGAAAAATACTAAATTCTTAACCTGGCTCTGATACCATGTTAAAATTGATGTATTATTGATTGTTGTATGTTATCTATTACAAATGGTGAGGGGCTCCTTATATAGGAGATGTATACAGACAATACATGTTTGAGCTCATGATGGAAAGTGAAGCACTAGCACCGAAAGGGAGGCTTCTTATCTACTAATATATTATATACTCTAGAAAGGAAAAGCAGCCGAAAGCACAATGCCACTACTGCCACTAACTATACATTAATCTAATCTATGTATATAGATTATATATATTATCTATGTGCTCTTCCCTCACCACCACCACCAAGTCTTCCCGCACCCTTCATCTGTATATGTCATTCTATATATATTGTTTGAAATTAAATAATATGTAGGTTAAAAAATTGGTTTAATTAGATTAATCTGTGGTTAAGTTAGAAATAGAGTTAAACTTGAGAAAAGGGGCTACTTACACCAATGGTCTTTGAAGTATGTGTTTGATTTGTGGTAAATTGATTTTCCCAAACTCTATTTAAATAGTGTAGTTAGCGAGTACGGGTATCGTATCCAGATGGACTACTGTGTATTTAATACTATTTTAAATATTAATTCCCAAATTAGTTTGTTTGATAATTGGTTGTTTGTTTTCAAGAGACTAATGAAGCCCTAATTAAATAAACTAATAACTAAATGAGCAAGAAAATAATATTTAATTAATTGAAATTTGGAACTTAGGGATCCGAATCCACCACTAGTTTAATACCTGGAATTGTAATATGGAAGAACACAAATGCTTGATTGGAACAAGCCAATTCCTCAACTACAAGTTGAGAATTGGAGAGAAGAATAAAGTTGCGATTGAAGCGCAAGTATGCCCTATCTCAACCGACACGGATTGTTCACTCTCAACTAAGGTTCGTGGCACAATCTGTCTAGTTATAGCATAGCCCGTCTTGGGTTTCAAATACAACAACAATGAAAATAGAGTAAATTCATTCTCAATAACAAAAATCGAATGAAGTGTAATGATAGAAGAACATTTAAATGAAACCCAAAAGTTTTACAAATATCCAGCCATCAAAGATTACAAAAATTGGTTACTTGACTACGGTTTCATTGAAACCCTAAGTGTCATGCTTAGCCGCTCATGGAGGAGAGTAGAGATGAGATGGAAGTGGTGATGATGGTAGCCTCCGTGAATGATCAAGTTCTCCTTGCTTTTACCCCAGTAGCCTCCTCTCTTCAAATCCCCAAAAGTGTGAACCCTAGAAAACTCCTTTTTTTTATTCTTTTTATACTCAGAAATGGATTTACGATTTTGCGCACGCACTTTGAGATCTGACTGCTCATGCAGCCAAAATGCTCCACACGAGCGGAGCTTAAGCAGTAAGGGATCTAGGAGTGGCCACTCGTGTGCCCACCTTGGCCACTCAAGCGGTGGTGGGCCACACGTGCGGTAGTGAACTTTGGTCACTCGGGTGGAGGTCTTGCTCGTCCACCACTTTTAGCCATTAAATCGAGTGTTGCCCGCCAAACTTGCACACACACACAAAATGCATCATATCCGCCAAATAACCATACTTCAGAGACTATACACTTAGGTGGCCTCAATGTAACCTTTCAGCCCAAATCAGCATTTTGTTGCACTTTAGTCTCCAATCTTATATTTTTGTTAATTGATCCTCAAATTACTAACAGAGTATAAATGGCTTTCAGTCCTGATGCCATTCAAATTGATTGAAGGAAGTCAGGGATACTTTTATAATTTTAGATAAAGACTCAAGGAAATCAAAGGATTAAATACAAAGATGGCTTCTAAAGTATGTTTTTTGTTGCATTTTAATTCTCAATTTTTTATTTTATTTTAATTTTGTTGCATTTTTTGTGAAGTTTTGAAATACCCTTGCTCTCATTAATTAATTTAAACAATGTGAGCATTGGGGATTATTTTATCTCACATTTTGTAATTTGAAGACTAAATTGACATAATCAAAAGATTAATGATTACAGTGCAACAGTCTAAACATTGGGACTATTGGTGTAATTAGGACTTAAAAGAATTTGGATTAGTATGTAACTTAATTTCATGTTAATTTTTTTTTACTGGTAAAGTAGTGGCATTTATTCATTAGGTAAAAGGAATGCATCAGCCATCAAAAGAGGGATTGTGCAATCCAGGCCAGCCTTAAATCTGTATGGGAAAGATCA